GTCTAAGCAAAGCACCATGGGAGCCCAGAAGAAAGTGATTCTGACGTGGGGTGGGGGGCAGAAGTCAACTGCAGTGCTTGTTGCCACAGTTCAGGGCCTGTGTCATGAAGATCTTTATAGCCGTGTTGAGGAGTCTGTGCTTTATTATCAGAGCAGTGGGGAACCTTTGGAGGTTCTGTGTGTGTGTGTGTAAAGACTTTTATTTTTGTTGTTGCTGTTTTGTTTTGTTTTGTTTTGTTTTTCCCCCTCAGAATAGTTTCTCAGATGTGGAACTGCTTGATCAAAAAGGAGAAACATTGTAAGATTTTTAAAACACTGTCAAATTGCTTTCCATAAAGTGTAGTGCATTCATAGGGTCTCTCCCCCGTGTGAAGATGTTAGTGTCTATAAAGGTCTGAATGAGGGAAGCTTTTCCCACAGCCAGGGCACTTGTGAGGTTCCTCTCCTGAATGAATGCTCTGGTGCTCAGTAAGTCTAACATTGAGAGGATTTTCCAGGTTGGAGTTCTCAGGGTTCTCTCTCCATAGATTGTTATGATGATTTACACATTAACCTTCTAAATGTTTTTAGTCTTTTTGTAAAATAGAACCATAGAGAGCATTCTCCTCTAAAGTAACGGTGAATGGATGCAGAGTTCTCAGTTTTTTCTGCTTTGAAGAAGCTTCTTCATTTTCTCTCCTGATCTCAAAACCTGAGAGAAGAAATAGAAATTGAACATGTCACCCTATTCCAAGGAGAAAGAAAATGAGGAGGAAAAAAGGATTGTATTAAACCAGGAATGAAATGATAGAAACTCCTAAGTAGATCCCAAAGCTTTTTAGTCCAATTAAGGCTGAATTTTTCTTTTCTTTCTTCCCTCCTCTCCAATGAACACTCACCTATCTTGAAGTCAAATCGTTGTTTCATTTCTTTGGATCCTGAAATCCCTTCACCCATGGCTCTTCTCTGTGCTCCACTGGGGAGCTCAGGCCAGGCTGTGGTACTGGATATCCTGGCCATAAGAAAGACAGGAAGGGGCCAGCCCCATGGCTTAGCGGTTAAGTGCGCACGCTCCGCTACTGGCGGCCCAGGTTCAGATCCCTGGTGCGCACCGATGCACCGCTTCTCCAGCCATGCTGAGGCCGCGTCCCACATACAGCAACTAGAAGGATGTGCAACTATGACATACAACTATCTACTGGGGCTTTGGAGGGAAAAAAAAAAAAAGGAGGAGGATTGGCAATAGATGTTAGCTCAGAGCCGGTCTTCCTGAGCCAAAAGAGGAGGATTAGCATGGATGTTAGCTCAGGGCTGATCTTCCTCACAAAAAAAAAAAAAAGAAAAGAAAGGAAGCATGATAGTTTGGGTCACCACTGGTTTTTCCTGAATTCAGGCTGATTTCTGGGGCAGATGGCCTGTCTATATCTATTTCCTTCTCAGTTAGGATTATTTCACCTGGATCCTCTGTCAGGCAGTTTTTAAATATTAAAACAAAACCAAAATAAGGGGAAAGCTCTTTTTGTGCTCAACTCTAGGATACTGTTCTCCAATCTATGGAAGAGGAGTGAATTACTTTTATGTTAAAGTCAATGCACTAAATTAGTTTTATATTATTGTTTGAATATTTTGATGATAGAATGATCTAAGTTGGGTCTAAAATGTGAAGTAAATCTTCCTAAAATTCTGACTGTATTTAAGCTGAGAAACATTGAGTCCCAAGAGAAAACAGAGAGGTAAAAGTCGGAGTTTTGGAACCATGTCCTGGATTAATTTCAGTTAAGAAATTTTCAAATACAAATTGGTATCTGAACTGGGTTTGGTTGGTGACCAGTAAAAACCATCTTTATATGTTTCTTTTAGCTGAAGTCTAGAAGTGGATTATCTTGAAATTAACCAAAACAACTAACAGTGTTTCTGGCAATCTAAAGACAACCAGTAAAATTTTCCCCAGATCAATTTCCCGCCGTGTCCTACCATCCCCTCCCTCACTGACAGCAGTTATGGTTTGCACCCTCTTTGTGTCCCTTCCTCTCCCTCCTCACCTATGACAAAGATTACAGATCTGCATTAAAATGTGGGTTGGTAAATAGTGATTTAAGACCCAAATACAGGAAAATGTTTAAATATTAACATTACCAAACAATATTAGCAAGTTAGTTTGGTTAATGGTAATCCGAAGGAAAATTTAAATTCCAGAATTTTTTATCAAAATACTGGAAGTGGAGCAAAATGCTTTACCTTATATTTTCATGGAGAAAAGGCAATATATTTCAGACTAATAAAAATAAAATGCATTTCAAATGGAATGCCATTTAAAGTCAGTATTTTATGACCGGATTTCAAAGCTAAGAGTGGGATCAAAGTGTAATGTGGTACAGGTAAAACAAACCCTAAGCCCTAGATCACAGGGAAGCTGTAGTCAAGTAAGTGGGAAGAAACCGAAACTGAGGAGAGTGGCCAGCAGCAAAGGCTTAGAGTGTCAGAAGCCTGGAGGCCAGGATATCTTAAAGTGAGAGGCAGGAAAGCAGCATTTCAGAATGACAGGAACTGCTCATTTGTCTGTTCCTAGCCCAAAGAGCAGACTTGAAAGTCTTAACACTGTAGATTTCATCAAATGCCAGTTTGAAAACCAGGCACAGACAACCCCCCCCTTGACACCAAGGGAATCTATAAGACCTACGTAAGGACCGAAACCAGCTCAGGAGACAGAATCTAGTACTCCTGAGAAATAAAACCAGGAGTAGTAGAGGTTCTTTATCTGAGATTCAGATTTGTTTTTCTCTTTAATAGTCAAGGAGCCACCTTTAGCTGAGGACAAGCAAATATAAGAAAGTAGAATCAATAGTGGTTACAAGAGGACATACTTACTTCCCTTAACTTATTTTTCACTAAAACCCAAAAGTAGTGGTCCTTAATCTTTTTGGTGGTTTTGAGAACTTGATGAAAACCATGGATCCACTTCCTAGAAAATACACATACAAGGTTTACAAAATCTCCAGATCCATCCATGTGACCCTCTAGAACTGCGTTGACCAATATGGTAGCCACTAGGTGGCACTTAGCAACACTAGCTGCATTTTAAGTGCTCAGTAGCCACCATCACAGCAAGTTCTATTGGACAGTGCTGCTCTAGGTTAGGAACTCCTGCCCCAAATGAACCCCAATACATCTGCTGGCCTATAACCCCACTCCCAGTCAAGTATCAACTATTTTCTCTGTCTGAATATAGACAGGCCTCAAAGAAATGGAGGAGGAATACTAAGAGAAATTTTGAATAACTCTGAAAGTCCATCTAGCTTTAAGTACCCACTGATAACCTAAAATCAAAGAGAACTTAGCAAATGATTCATCCTTCATTCTTCCCATCTCAAGGCATGTGTAGTTTTGCAAACATTCCCCACATCCTGTGATAATAACCCTAGTGGCTTTTCTATGAGATAGGGTAAGGTAAGCCTTCAGGAATTTGCTCTGCATTAATAACAGTTAATATTTATTGAGTTCATACTAGGTGCTAGGTACCGTTCTAAGCATCCTACATATGCTAGCTCATTTAATCCTCACCTCACCTTACATGTTATAAGGTGGGTATAGTATTATCCCCTCAAAACAGATGAGGGAACTGAGGTTTGGGGCTTAGCGAGATTGAATAACTTGTCTGAGATGACATAGTAAATGCCAGAGAAGTGGTTATGAGGTTAGAATCTATAGTCTCCTGAAATACGAATGTCTAAAACATGAAAATGGTGTTAGAGGACTCTGAGGTCACAGGTCTCAACAAGGTTTTCTGAAATGGACCTATACCTGCCTGTGCACTATAAGGCCTCTAGAACCGCATCTGCTACAACACCTTGTAGACTTGTCTTTTTCCCTGGAGTGAAACAGAAAAAAACCCAAAATACTCAGGACTGTTTCCACCCAATCATTCAAAGTCGACCCTCTCCATCCCCACATCACCCTTTACCATCACGGTAGCTTGAACTTCAGCGACAGACTAGCTGTGTGACCCTGGGCAAGTGGTGCCCTTATCTGTAACGGGATGATAACAGCGTCTACTTCCTACAGTTTGTGTATTGTATATGTATCCAGTTGCATGTAAGCAGGCGCTCAATCAACGGTTACGGGTTGTCACGATTCACTCCAACGATGCTTCTACCTCCTGAGCCCACGGGCCTGACCGTCGCTGGAGGGAATGGAGGAGCTGGGCCGACCTTGGCCGTGGACACCCGCCTCACAACTGGGCCGCCCTTCCCTCACCGGCAGAAAGCCCCTGACTGCGCTGGCCAGGGAATCGACCCTCCGAGTTTCCCCCGATTCGTCCCTCACGATGAGAGTTCAAGGCCGAGCTAGGAGGGAGATGAATAACGATCCCGCCCTCCCAGGGCTAGACAATGAACAGCAAGTCCCAGGCAAGATTAAAATCCGGTTTAAAATTGGAAGCCAGTGGCGCGGGCCGGGTCCCGAGCGGCCCTCGGGGACGTCCAGCCGCCAGAAGCGGAACCCTGGCCGGCCACCAGCACCACACCACCAACACCGCGCCGGCTTCACTGCCTCTGCGCCCGGCTCTCCGCCGCTCCGGCACCTGCCCAGGGCGCAGGCGCAGGTGTGGGCCGTGCTGTGGACTGCATCTCCCGGCAGGCCCCGCGGCGGCGCTGACGCGGGCAGGGCGGCACGCTTCTCCGCCTCCCTGAGGCGCCGAGCGGGCGGCCCGGTGGAACCCGGGTGACTTCCCCCAAAGCCGCCGGGACGAGTGGGGGCCCTCTCTTGCAGCCCCGGATAACCGGAGCGGGTGGAGACTACCTTTAAATCTGTTATGACCGGGACAGTGATTCTCAAATTTGGCTGTGGGGGAAGAATTTCTCGGGGGAGCTTGTTAACAATTCAGATGTCCAGGCCCACCCCGACACTCTGACGCACTGGATCGCGTGGCTCCAGGGTCTGCACTTTAGTGAGCTTTCCGAGGGATTCTAACCCACGTAGTCCGCCGGTCACACCCGCCTTGCTATTACTTTCCACACATCGTTCTGGCGACTCCAGTCGCCCCTAGGGGCCTCTGCGCTTTCGGGCCCCGCCTCTCGTCTCCAATTGGCCCCTAACTCGTCCCGCCCCCGCAGGCAAAATCTTCCCTTGTGGTTGGTCAGCGGTGAGTCTATGCGAGACCTGACCCAATGGACGCTAGAGTTCTCAGAACGTGACCCGGAAGTTGGTCCTGAGCAGGCGCCGTTGGCTGTGGACGCCTAACTCGCGCGCTGAGACTTCCGGCTGGGAGCAGAATGCCGAGTCCTGCGTGAGTCCGCGACGAGGGCAAAACCGCAGCTCTCACGTCCTGTCTTAGGGAGGTGCTGGCGGGACGGCCTAGGGGGCCGGCGCGGCTACGCTCGGGACTGACTGGGGTCGAGGCCCCGGAGCTGGCTGCGCCGGGGCTGGAGCTGGGGTCCTCGACCGGGACTTGAAGCACCAGGCCCCCCGGCATCTACCGACGCTGGCCATACTTGCGCGGGGACGGGGGCGCCTTCCTAGACGGGCGCAGCTGGTTTCGGGGCCAAGGCGCTCCGGGGCTTGACGATGGCGTCGGGCCCGGGCTCCCAGGACCGTGAAGGGCTCCTGATAGTGAAACTGGAGGAGGACTGCGTCTGGAGTCACGAGCTGCCCCAGCCAGACCCAGGGCCCAGTCCAGAGGCCTCCCACTTGCGCTTCAGACGGTTCCGCTTCCAGGAGGCCGCTGGGCCCCGGGAAGCCCTCAGCCGGCTCCAGGAGCTTTGCCATGGGTGGCTGCGGCCTGAGATGCGTACTAAGGAGCAGATCCTGGAGCTGCTGGTGTTGGAGCAGTTTCTGACCATCTTGCCCCAGGAGATCCAGAGCAGGGTGCAGGAGCTGCATCCGGAGAGCGGCGAGGAAGCGGTGACCCTTGTGGAAGATATGCAGAGAGAGCTTGTGAGACCGAGGCAACAGGTGGGAGAAAGAGTTATCTGCGATTTCTTTGGCCCCGAGGACCGGGACATCGCGCTGGCCCAGTTTCCCATACGAATTTACTTGATCTGAGTAGACCATACGTGGGCATGAGGCCTTTTTGTAGTTTAGTCAGAAACATTCATTCCCTAGATTTTCCCCAAATGGACCGTGAGCAGTGATGAGTGCCCTGTTTCCACACGGAGGCAGTGTCTCTGCGTTAGTGTGCCCACTCCCCCACCCCCACCCCCACCCCCGGAGTTAGCTCGCAGGATTCAAATCCTCACTCTGCTCCGTACTAGCTTTGTGACTTTGGGCAAATTACTTAATCTCTTTGGGTCTCAGATTTGCCACTGGTAAAATGAGAATGATAAAATACCTGTCTAGGGTTGCTTTCAGGGTTAGAAAAAGAGCAGCATGTAGTTTTGATCACACTACTGGCTTATAGTTATTACTTAATAGCTGTTAGTTATTGTTATATTAGGGTAAGCAGTCTGGTCTCTGTAGAGCTGGATTGCAGTTAATAGTGGACTTAGAAAAAACAGTTTGGCACTCAGGTTCTGAGAGTACTTGCCCCCAGGGCCCCCCAGGTTTAACTTATCCAGTAGTGAGAAATGAAAGCATCTAGAAAAGGTGGGGGAAAGTGAGAGGGAGTGAGATGTGTTAGAAGAGCTGTGTGTGGGAGGTGTGCACTAGGAGCAGGACCCCTCCTCCTCCAACATGTTTTCTTGGATGCACCTGCGATGAGAAAGCACTGTAGTGTAAACCATTCTTCTCTCTTGCTGGGTCCAAAGGGATCGTCAGTGGTTCTCTGTTGAAGGCTTGCCCTCAGAATTCTGTGCTAATTTCCCTTCCTCTCAGGCCCTGTTGTGATGATGAGTGATGTGGGTTGGTTCCCAGGTCACAAACCATGGGCGGGGAACAGAAGTGCTTTTGGAGGAGACTTTGCCTCTGGAAACAGCACGAGAGTCACCGAGCTTCAAGCTGGAGCCAATGGAGACTGAGCGAAGCCCTGGCCCCAGGCTGCAAGAGCTGCTAGGCCCCAGCCCCAAAAGGGACCCCCAGGCTGTAAAGGAGAGGGGTGAGGAACAGTTATTTGGGCAGTTGGGAGGGAGGAGGGGCTTCGGGGTTGCCCCTGCCACCAGCAGGATGGAACACCACTGCCAAGGAGAGGGAATTTCTGACCTCAGGATTCCCAGATGTGGAGTAAAAGATCTAGAAGTGGTGGTTTGGGTTCTTTTCAGGGTGGGAGGGAGGGGATCTCTCAGTAAGCCCTTTTGTATGCAGAACAGAGACATTTAGAGCTAGATGAATGATTGAGGGCTTGAATTCTGCAAGCCAGCAGGGAAAAGTGCTGGCATTCCTTTACCCTCACCCCGTGATTTTGGATATCACATTATTATGCCCCTGTTGCCTTCTTTTGTTCAGTATTTAATCCTCAGAGCAGAGACTGGGTGTTGGGAAATGGATACTGTGTTGTCATAATCCTTGGGTTGCTAAGAATTAGGAATGCCATTCTCATCATGATTTCTGTCACCTTCAGCATTGTCTGCTCCCTGGCTTTCACTCTTTCCTCCTGAAGGAAACATGGAAGACAAGGAGATTACTGGGCCTCAGGTGATGTGGAAGTTCCCATTGTCTCCCCTCAATAGCACCTCACCACCTTGCTCGAGTTGGGGTGGGTCCTTTTGCCACTTGGAGAGGAGCCTTTCTCCCTGACCACGAGCATCTCCCTCCTCACCTCAGTTGGCGGCCTGGTTCCCTTCTTCCCCATGAAATGTGTTCTTGCCTGCACCACCCCCACCCCCACTTTTGCCCCTTTAACCTGTGATTCTGCTTGAATTGTTCTTGGTGCCTCAGAGGCTAAAGGAGATCTTGTGCTGTTTCAGTTGCCTGAGAGCTTAGAGGACATGGCTATGTACGTCTCCCAAGAGGAGTGGGGGCATCAAGATCCTAGTAGGAGGGCCCTCTCCAGGGACACGGTGCAGGAGCGTTTTGAGAATGTGGACTCACTGGGTAAGGACTTCCTTTCCGGGGATGAAGACTGAGCCATTTCTGACTAGGGTCCTGTCCCTTAGCCATCAGCTCCTGGAGTAAGTTCTGAGTTTGGCAGAAGATCTCCCTTTGTCTAAAGTTCCCTCGACGAGGATCAGTTAAACATCTGCGAAGTGGCACAGTTGGCACACTTATGGGCCCCGGCTGCCAGAGCTAAAGGCAGGGAGTCTGAGCATTAATGGACTTCCCAGGGCAGAACAAATCAAATCCAGTGACCCACTGCCCCACATCACGCACACACTGTGTCCCAGGATGCTGTGGGGCTCTAAGTTCTTGATGCCTTGCAATTTCGAGATGCTTATTTGCCTGACCTCATTTATGTTTTCTATGCTCCATTAGTATTTCTAGGCCCTTCCCAAAGCACAAATTTCAGGGGCACTGGCATCAACACTCCAGCTTAACAGCTGTCCCAGCCCTTAAAAATTCAGGACAGGGGGAAGGCCTTATGAAAATTTGGAAATGAGATATATATATCCAGAACAGGGGTTAAATAAATTAAGCATAATTAAAGATACATCTATGTGTTGAACTCTTTATGCAGAGATTAAAAATGAAGCCTATGAAATATGACAAAAGACTGGAAGTTGGTGTTAGGTGGAGAGTGTACAAGTACTGTGTAATTCGTTCAACTTTTCTGTATGTATGAAAATTCTCAAAGTTGGGGGAAGCCTTAAAAAACAGCGTAGGGCCAGCCCGGTGGCCCAGCGGTTAAGTGCACGGGCTCCGCTTCCGTGGCCGAAGGGTTCACAGGTTCGGATCCCCGGCGCACACCGCTCGTCGAGCCATGCTGTGGCAGTGTCCCATATAAAGTAGAGGAAGATGGGCACAAATGTTAGCCCAGGGCCAATCTCCCTCACAAAAAAACAAACCAAAAAAACAGCATAAAACAGGACTGTGTACATTACGATTATAGCCACGTTGACAAACACATGGTAGAAAAGAGTCACACTGCACTTCGTTTTCATACATCAGGTTTTTGTAAAGAGAAGCACAACTATCAGCTCACTTGCACTAATTCTACAAAGGGGTCACTACTGGGTTTGGTTCCCTTCATTGGGACCTTCTCCAGGTTCTCCCATCATTGGGTCATGGCTTGGTGCCCTAAGTTCAGCACAGCTCTTTTGGTGAGTGCTAAATAGGAAGAGAAGTTCAGGTTACAAGTTCTTGGAACTAAACTGTTTAAAGTCCTTGTTTGCTGGAGTTGGAGTGAGGTTTTGTTTTAGCATAGCACAGGAATGGCACTTTTGGGTTTTAATCTCAGGGTCCTCTCAGAGCTCCAGGTCCTTTTATGATTGTCCATCATGTTATATTTTTTCTTTCTGGAGTTGTCCAGTCAAACTTAGTTCTATTTTATATTTATCCATAAGAGTGAAGACTTTTTACAACATTAAACTAATTCCTCAAGGAACTGACCACTCTGACCATGTTCGTTTGATTGTTGTTTTAATTACAAAAGTATACATTCTCTTTGTAAAAAACCCCAAGTGCTACAAAAGCGTAAAAAGAAAAAAGCCATAGTCTCCTTTCCCCGATTTCTTTCTCTAGAGGTATAACTGCTGGGAACAGTTTAGTGTATATTCTAAGTAATTCTAATTCTGAGTAATTGCTGTCAGACTTACTGCACCTTCTGTATCTACCCAGTGAGGGCAGGGAACAAGACTATCTTTGTTTCCCCTGCCTGGTAGAGGAAAGTGGTGACACAGAAATCTGTTTTTTTCGTTGTAAACAGAGTCTCAGGTTCCTAGTCAGGAGGCCCTGAGCACCCAGGTGGAACAAGGAGGAAAGCCATGGGATCCCAGTGTTCAGATTTGCAAGGAGGGCCTGAGCCCAAGAAGCCCATCTCCAGGTAAGGAATGAAGAGGAGCAGCCTGCTCAGCTAGCCTGCCACTGTTGGGAGTGAGGCATTTGAGGGTATGGGTCTAGGGCTAGCCCATCATTGCTGCCCAGGAGGTATGTTGCTTCCTGTGTCTCCTCTGCCCACTTTCATCCCAGTGAGGGACCCGGGATGCAAAATGTAAGGAGGCATTCACTCCTGGGCTCAGTGGCCCACCCTAGTCCCAGCCCTGCTCCATCCCACCCATTTATGAAGGGCAGAAGCCAGAGGCTCAGTTGAAGAGGGAGGTAGGGGCCCCTACAAGGGAATTTAAGACTGGTCTGAGCTCTGATTCCTGAGCGATGGCCCCACACCTTATCCGGATGCCTCTCTAGAGTGCTTTACGTATACAGGGAAGATGGGAAACGGAGGTAGAACCAGCCCTTCTGGACTTCTGACCTACAGGCAGTAGCAGACATGTGGGATTTTCTTTTCTCCAGTGTAGAAATAATGTAGGGGGGGTTTGGTTTCTCTGGCTCTAACAGGGGAAGAGAAATTTGAGAACCAGGAAGAAATTGCTGAGTCTGTTTCCTCTGAGAGTGTCCACCCTCAGGTGCTGCTGCCTGGCCAGGCCAGAGGAGAGGTGCCCTGGAGTCCTGAGCAGGGAAGGCTTCGGGACAGGGCAGAAGGGCCTTGGGAGCCTCCCCCAGAAGTTCGGATGGAGCAGTCCTTAGTGGGGGCCACAAGTTGCAGGGAACTGGGGCGACCAAAGGAACTGCAGCTGAAGAAGCTCCATTTATGTCCATTGTGTGGCAAAAATTTCTCAAACAACTCAAACCTAATTAGGCACCAGAGAATACATGTAGCAGAAAGACTGTGTATGGGTGTGGAGTGCAGTGAAATCTTTGGTGGGAACCCACACTTTTTATCACTACACAGAGCACACTTGGGAGAAGAGGCCCATAAGTGCCTCGAATGTGGAAAGAGCTTCAGTCAGAATACTCACCTGACTCGCCATCAGCGCACCCACACAGGTGAGAAGCCCTATCAATGTAACGTATGTGGAAAAAGCTTCTCTTGCAACTCCAATCTGCACAGGCACCAGAGAACACACACAGGTGAAAAGCCCTACAAGTGCCCCGAGTGTGGGGAGATCTTTGCTCACAGTTCTAACCTCCTTAGGCACCAGAGAATTCACACAGGAGAGAAACCCTATAAGTGTGCCGAGTGTGGGAAAAGTTTCTCTCGAAGTTCACACCTTGTCATACATGAAAGAACTCACGAGAAAGAGAGGCTTTACCCCTTCTCTGAGTGTGGGGAAGCAATAAGTGACAGCACTCTCTTTCTTACAAATCATGGAACCCACAAGGCAGAGAAGAAACTCTTTGAATGTTTGACTTGTGGGAAAAGCTTCCGGCAGGGCATGCATCTCACCAGACATCAGAGAACGCACACAGGAGAGAAACCATATAAATGTACCCTTTGTGGGGAAAACTTCTCTCATAGATCCAACTTAATCAGGCACCAAAGAATTCATACGGGAGAAAAACCCTATACCTGTCATGAATGTGGAGACAGTTTCTCTCACAGCTCAAATCGGATTCGTCATCTGAGAACCCATACCGGAGAGAGACCCTATAAATGTTCTGAATGTGGAGAAAGCTTTTCTCGGAGTTCACGCCTTATGAGTCATCAGAGAACTCACACGGGATAGAAACAATGGGATTTCTTTTTGGCCCAGATAAGGTGGTATATTCAGAGGGTCCTGTTGTGAAGAGCTGGTATTCCTTGTTCAACTGACCAAATGATCTGTGTTTTTAAGGTAATTATTATAAAGAGTAACCAGGGGGAGGGTCACTGTGAGGGAGGTACAGAGGCAGCACAGGATTAGCATAAAACTAAAAAGGAATTTTGCCTGAACTAGTGAGGATGGCAAGTCTTTAAGGTGACCTGCCCAGGGTGCACCTACCCCCTCAGTATATTTAGCCAAGTTGTGATTTCGGTGCCTTACTGTGTCCAGTGTCTATCCCAACAACTTTGGGAATCCGCGTGACTTTCCATTACTGCTTCCTCACTTGTGACATGCAGCAGGAGCATTTGGGTGTCTGAGGCCCTGAGACCAAAGAAGAGGGGCCAGGTCTCCTGGGAAACCAGCTGGAGGCGATGAAAGACCGGTGGTTGAGTTGCAGCTCTCACAAAGGCCCTGGCTGGGAAGCCATGGGCAATCTATGGCAGCCACCACAGCACCCCTCAATGGCCCCATCAACCCCAGGAGGGCCCATGGGCAGGCCATGCATGTAAATGTCACCTCAGACAAAAAGGAACCAGAGACCTAAGGGAAATAGCAAGATGGAATTTGCAGGTCAGCCCAGGAATTGACAGAGGAAACTGGAATCTGAATTAGCTTACCTTTTGCAGAGATCGAGACTTCCCCCACCTCTGTCAGAGGAAGATAAACAAAGCTCCAGAGTCTTCAGTGGGTTCCATGGGAGACTTTGAAAATGTGGATCCTAGGGAAATTAAGGATCATGCCTTTCCCTGTTGAAAATATGTTTGGATGGTAATAAATATCTTCTGGAGACATGAAAGTGTGTGACTCTTCATTGAGGGCCTTTGTCTTAGCCTCCAGTGTTGATATGTCTTTTGTCTGCTTTGGTTAGAGGACCTGCTTTCTCCTTGCGGTCTTAGGGTTGGTCGGGAAGGTTCCAACAAAGGTGTCAGCAGACAGGCTGGGTGTCTGGTGAGGTAAGGTGTGGCCCTGGCCAGCTCCAGGCTCAGACTGTTGTTTGATAACAAAAAGTCACGCCCAGTGGCTGATTGGGGTGATGATGTCATAAGGGTCTCCTAGAAGGTTTTTTTCCTTCTGTAGTGTACAACAGTAAAAAAAAATCTGATTCTTTGTTTAGAATATTTACTTTCTTGCAAAGTAGCTGAAGGAAGATCTGGCTCTTCAAAGACAGAATATTTTGGTCTTGCAAATGGTTCCCAGGAAAGATGGTCCTGATATAACTGAGTTATAGCCCACTAATGGAGGGAAGTTATAAGGGAGGGCAAAATTATTAGGGGAAAACATTTTAGAATGGGGAATCAGGAATAGGAATTCTAAGAGTGTGTATGTATGGGAAAGAGGTAGAATACCAAAAAGTATTTTAGGAGTAGGAAATCTGGATGCCAGGAAAACATCTCAGGATTTGGCCCTGGAGGAAGACATGTAACTAGCTGTTCTTTGGGAGAAAAAGATGAAACATTCCATTGGCAACAATACAATAAAATACAGCAATTTTAAGTGAGGCAAATTACCCTACGTGCCCTGCCTCTTCCTTATCAGTCTTGTCTCAGCCCTGCCTCAGTTTAGTATGACTTTTCTCTTGGTTTTCTGAGCTGATTTTTAAAAATCTTATTCTTTCTCATTTCTCTCCCTTTCTCTTATCCACAAGAGGGCAGTGGTAGTGTGGGGGTTGAGGGGCAGGGAAGGAGGGTGAGGATTTGAGAGAGATTAATGTAGGATCAACAGTGGTAGGAGCAGGGCAGGGCTGATGTGGCTACTGATGCCATGAAATAGGTGGATGATGTAAAGTTGATGTTACTAAGTACTCTCTCTGGTTGAAATGGCAACTTACGTGTATTGTAAATCTCATGAAAATGGAAAGCACCCTCCCTGTCCATTCCCCTCCCTCCCAGTAATATCACCCGTGCAGATCTTATGATGTGGTCCAACTGGTGTTGCTCCTATTTGGAGCACTGCAGCTTAAGGCCAGAGCAATGAGGATCCCTGGGTAATTCACTCCTGTCACTAAAAAGGCTTTCCAATAGAAGCCTCCCCCTAGTCCTCAGTCTAGCTCCCCTTCTAGCAAACTTCACATGCAGAGCTGTTCTCGGCCTTGTTTTAATGAGATGTCACAAAATATTGCATGTAAAACACGTAGTGCCTGGCACATAGAAAGTACTCATCTATTTGTGCCATCTATGGGCAGGTAATACTGGCAAGATTGTCTTCCTTCTAAGTACCTGGCACTGAGACCAATGTAAGAACATGCTGGCAGGAATTTCAGAGAGCCATCTTGCATGCTATTGACAGGCAAGATTGATGACTTCTTCCCTTGTAGTCATATTTCAAAGAGCAGGTCAGAGGCCCTTACTGCAACCACCCATGAGGTCATTGCAAGGGATGGCGAAGTGTATGCTTTTTACGTTCATACTTTTACATTACAGACATACTTTTTACATTCATAGGTTTACCTGCTAGTCCAGTTGAAAAAGAAACCAGAACAGATTCCAACTGGCTTTTATGTCAAAGGGAGACTGACGCTGGGGGCAGTAAAGACCCCTGCCCCCTCAGTTCAAATGGGTACAAGGAGACCTGGGAGATGAGGACTTACTGAGCGATAGCCACACATCCTTATAGCAAAGGTAGTACATGAGACCAGAATAGCTCCTGGGTGGAGAATTAGTACCACATTTAAGCAATGTGGAAACGCCTGGCAGAGGCAGCAGGGTAGCCATCAATGAGGACAAAGCCTGTAATGCCACAGCCTGCAAGAAGTGTTAAAACAAGCACTACATTGTTTGTGTGTTTTTTCCCCAGAAAAACCCATCAGAAACCACTTTAAGAATTTTTACTGCAGTAATGAAGGAACTTATGGGTCTCAATATCATAATCTGAAATTTGAGGTTTTAGACTCCACATGCTTTTAGGAAGAGTTTACTGTTGAATCATTACATTATCAACTGATACAATTTTGGCAAGTACAAAGTCACACCACTGCTTTAAGACTTGTAATTTTTGTAAATGTTTCACAAGCATTTGAAACAAGTCATGTAAAAAGGTCTTAAGGTGTGTTACAGGAAACCAACTAGCAAATTTGTTACCACTAGGAGACTAACTTCTTTGGTTATCAGAGCTCAAGAACAGCAAGATGAATTAAAGCAAAAGTGCATTTATTAGAAGTATTTTCTTTTAGCTTTCAATCTGTAAGCACTTCTGACTAAAAACTGACTTCCATTCTTGAAAGGGAGACTGATAATTCCTTCTGATCATCTAATTTTTAGTAAGAGGGGCTAAGTCTTGCCTGACTGGTACCCTGTTAGGAGGCAGTGGGAATGGTCTAGGTACATTCAACAATAACAAAATGGTTGAGGAAAAATGGCTCAGACTACAAAAAACTTCTGACAAATCTTCCAGTTACAGTCCTCAATTCATCACTGAGACACTTTGAATGTCCCAGAAGCTTCAGTCAGAAATCAAAACTGGTGACTCACCAGGATCCAGACCTGCTCCAGGGAGCTAGTAAGATTTCCCCAGGCAGAAAGGTGGGGGAAAGAAAATATTGAGATGTTTCTTTCCGAAATCGTAGGGTATGTTTTTGAACTTAATGAGGAATTGTGTTTGCCTCTCCATTCCCACTTCCTCTCAAGGCAGGAAGACGTTCTAGAACCTGGATGTGGTTCCCAGGTTCTGGAGGTGAAGCTGCCCTTTGAGGGGATTCTCCGCTCCCCCGGGAGAAGGTCCAGTTTAAGTTTAGGAATCCTGCCTCTGCCACCGGAACAAGAGTGAGGTGCCTGGGTTTGTCGGAGGAGCTCTAGTCCATGGGAATGATTTCAGAACCAAGGACGTCGGTCCTTTCTCAGGCAAAGCAAACGGGTCCGTGGCTCCCGCAGCTTAGCCTTCCGCCAGCATGGTGGACAGGCGCCGCGCCCCTAAAACCGCCTTTCTGCTCCACCCAGCTGGCCGCAACGAGGATGGCTCCCGAGTCGGCCCCCGGAGGAGCAAGGGCTGTGACCATGGTGCGCTCAGCTGCCGCTCCCGACAAACCTTTCCTCATCTTCCGCCCAGCGCCTGAGCGCCAACTCTGCCCCACGACGCGCCCCGCCGCGCCTCTCCTCCCGCCCGCCCTCCGCCCGCGGCTCCTCCCTGCCCCGGCCGCTCTGGCCCGCCGGCGGGCGCTCTATGGTCGCGCCGGGAGGCGCGCTCCCCGCAGGCCCCCTCCCAGGGCTAGGTCCGGCCACAGAGCGGGGCTCCTCTCTCCCTCCACCTGAGCGGATACGGGCGGCGCAACAGCACTCTCCAAAACTTCGTCCTTCAGGTACGCGTCAGCCGGGCTGAGCGTCCGCGCCGGCTCTCGTGGTCCAGCAGGAGGCAGGCGCAGAGCTGGGTGATGGTCGGCCCGGGGAAAGAGGCGTCTCAGGACCCGGAAAGGGCGGGCCTCGGCCGGCCCACCCGGGGCCTGCAGGCTGTCCTCAGTGGGTGGGTCTTTGTTTAAACACAATGGGAAGCCTACGAAGGGACTTGAGCAAGCGAGGCACCTCCTCTTTTGAGTTCGCTCGCGCTGGCTACAGGGTGGGGAAAGGATGGGGAGAGGACATGAAAGGAGGGCAGGGAGACTAAAGAGAGGGCGTGATGGCAGCCTGCACCGGGACACGAGAGGTGAGGAGGGAGAAGCGGAGACAAGAGATGAGACATTCAGGAGGTAGAGCCGACAGGACTTTACGTGGGCCGAGACCGAAGTCTAAAATCTTAAGACGATCCCCCAAGGACACTGAAAATCGGGCCCCGTCTCTCCTGCTTTTCTCTGCCAGCTGCCCCTACAGCAACCATCCAGGGAACTTGCAGCTTCCCAAGGAGAAGCACTCCCACACCGAACAGCCTGTGCTCACGCTCCCCTTTGCCTGGATTGCCCTTCCCCTCCCCCCACGAACTTGAAAGCCCAGCTCAAAAGTCACACTTGATCCTCTCAGATACTTCCCCTCCTATCCAAGCCCTGTCCATACGCATCTCAGCTCTTACACTTCCAACGGTGGTTTGTTCCTAGTCGTTCTTTGTAATTCAGGTCTAAATGCCCAACACTACACTCCATGCCTAGCATGGAAGGGCAACGTGAAGTTTCCAGAATCAATGACTCCTTTTGAAAGGAGTGTGACTGCCAGTCATTTATTCTGGGAATTTTTTACCACTGGGGAGAAAAAAAGGATGTTTGATGCAATGACTCAAAAGAAACTAGAGAGCTGTCCAGTATGCTCATCTGCCATCCCCCTGAGCTGCTTCCACAATCCTTTCTACCCCAGGCTTGAAAGGTGTCTCAACAAATGCTAACATTATTAATACCAAAGCCTAAAATATATTAAGACAATATAAAATTGTATTTACAATGTAATCTGCCTATTTTTGAAATATATCAAAGTGTTAGGCAAGACAATCATTGGTCGATAGAATTTGGATGTTTTTTATGTTTTTTATGTATCCTCTATAACCAGCATATGTTACTTCCACATTAAGAGGGGAAAAAACACTAAATAGGTGGACAAATTTAAGAAAGCAGAACATGTCATACCATTAAACAGAACACCATATCTATCCTTATCTTCTTAAAGGTAACTAAACTAGTCAGCGTATAGCTTCTTTGTTATATACTGTGAATACACTGGTAAAATTTAATGCTTTCCCACATCCATTCCACCTTAGATAATCTGGGACAATAATCCTCATTATCCAGATCCTTGTCTAAAACAGAAAAAATATGGATTAATGAATATATTTATACATTTAAAGAAACAAATTTATTATTTTCAAATTGTATACTTTATAAACTATTTAAGTAGACATTGATATGCAAAATGAGTTCTGTTGATAAAAACCATGACAATTCCCAACAGGTCTACATCATATATTATCATAACTGCAGAACTCTTTAAACACAAAATCTAATTACTAGAACCAGAAGTTGAAGGCATATTGAAGGAATCCCTAATATTATGAGGCCTAGGTTTCAAAAAGCTACCAATTCTAGAATGGATTCTACTCTGGAACTGTTTCTTGATTACTTCCTGTTGCATCTCTTTCAGTGTGAAATGGAACCTTTGAAATTCAGGTGTGGCATCAACAAAGTCAAGAAGGTAGTCTAAACTCTCTCTGACTGCAGATAACTTAAACTCAGCAGTCTGCTCTTCAGTTCCTCCTCCTTTTTGAACAACTTCCTTTGTAATCCCACCTTTTGTTTTGGGGAGACTACCCTTTTCTTCATCATCCCCATTTAACCACACCCTATCATCATCCAGCTTGGTTTCCAACTCCCCACATTTCTCAAGAATTTCTCTATAATCCCCATCTTCTAAGCCTTGAAGATCATATTCAGGTTCCTTTTTGTAAAGAAGATTTTCCCATGCATTTGCTATGGTTATTTGTTTTACTTCATCCCAACTCTTTGCCCAGTTAAAAATTGCACTTTTTATGTTGTAGATTTTAATCTTGGAAACTCCTTTTTCTCCTTTATCTTGCTCATCATCACTTTCTTCGAAAATGACAAGACTCTCTTCAAGTTGCCTCCACCTATAAAGTCGTTTGCAGCTCAAGATCACACCTTGATTCATTGGTTGAATCAAGGTTGAAGTGTTACGGGGAAAAAACATGCATTTTATTCGACCATCCTCACTGGTTAGTGATTCAGTGGAAGGGTGAACTGGAGAACTGTCCAGAAGTAACAAGGCTCTGACGTCCTCTTCATGGAATCTTAGAACATTAAGTTGAAAATGCCTGACCTCAGGAACAAAGTTTTGAAAGAACCATTCTGAAAACAATTCTCTGGTGAACCAAACATCCTTACTAGGTTTATATATCACAGGTAATGTACTTGTATCCTCTTTCACATTTTTGGGCAACCTCGATTTTCCAATAATGATTGACTTTAACTTATGAGTTCCATCTGCATTTGCACATAAAAGAGCAGACAACTTTTCTTTGTTTATTTTTCTCCCGGGCAGGCAGATATCTTTTCTGCTTGCCTGAGTGTTTTCTGGCATTGACTTCCAAAAGAGGTCAGTTTCATCCCCACTGTACAGCTGAGCTAGATGCAGTTTCTCCTCCTTGATAAGCATGGACAATTTTTGCCGAAATGGCTCAACATTTTCTGAAGCTGAACTTAGGACTTGTTCCCCACATACTTTTTGGTTCCCAATTGCGTGCCTATTTCGAAATCTAAAAAGCCAACCAGTGCTAGCTTTGAAGTCTGTTCGCCCAAAACACTGGGCGAATCTCTCTGCAGCAGCCTGAAGCTCCACACCTCTAACAGGGACACCAGCTGAGTGTTTTTGTTGGTACCACATGTAGACTGCATCGTCCACATCTCCATATTTGGCTCCTGTGGTCCTCTTTCTCTTCTCAGCCCCTACTAATGGCATGTCCTGCCTTAGTACAAAGTCCAAAATCAATTTCTTATTCTTTTTAATGTCATAAAATGTTGATTTACTGATTCCAAATTCATCCATTACACTTTTAAGAGACCGTCCAGCTTCAATCCTACTTAGAACCTTCATTTTCTCCTCTAAATTCAATGTTGTGTATTTCCCTCTCTTATTCATACTGAATTTGGTTTCAAACAACCAACAGGAGAAAAAAAAGGGAAAGCCTTACTGAATTGGAAAAAAAAATTAAAAACAAAACAAAACAAACCCACAAAAACTAGCTCAAAGCCCCAGAAGGCACAGGCATTTGTACTGAAGGGCAATGGACTAAAAGAGATAAGGGCTCATGATTGCAGTGCTAGTCTAGAGGTAAAGGTCTTATGAGCTCAGAAAGCTGCCACTGCCAAAGTCCTGTCTAGCTGTTGTTCCTGTAAGACATGGATGATCAGTTTTCAGAACCCCCTGCTCCTTCTCCTCTCCCTTGACAGATATAGCAGCACCAGTCAGGAATAAGAGGAATGCCTGCATACTCTCCCTAACTCAACAAGGAAAAGACACAAGAGGAAGAGAGAAGGCAAGATGTGCCCACAAGAATAGACCCAGGTGAGATAAGTCTCAATAAAAAGTGGTGCTTGAGAAGAAGGGAGTGTGAAAGCCTCAAAGGTAAGGACAGAGTAATCTTGTGTAGCAGAGATGCAGTGTGGCTTCTCCTCTTCCAAAATGACCTGATTTTACCTCACTGCCAGAAAAGAAAATGGTGCTCATATTGCTCTGTACATAGTGTTCACTGGGCAGCAGGCCATCTGCCTGGATAGAGACTCCAATCTACCCTGACACTGGGATATCTGGAGAGCTGGACTTTGGGAACAGCTGTATGGTATCCTTAGGTGAAGAAGAAAGCAGGTTCTGTTCTCCATAGGAATGAAATCCAACTTTTATTGCATTCAGCACAGCATTGTTAAAGACTGAGCTTTAACTTGACTGTTCCTTATGTTTACCAAGGTAATCTGAAAGTATGTGATTTATTAGTTAGCGGCACTTTTCCACACTCAGATCATCCTTGTGTACGTCTGGTGTATTCTCAAGTGTTATTTTTCATTGAAACTGTTCCATATTTGGGATATTATCGAGTTTCAGAATCATGGCAATTTTTAGAGATGAGTCCAAAAGTTTTACAAACATTGTGCCATAGTTAAGAAATTTTAAAAGGATCTGCCCTTTCATTTGTTTTCCTAAATTTACATTAGGGTGTTAAGCAACATACTTTTTATATTTCAGACTTTATTTGATTTTCTCTTCAGTGTAGATTTTCCTTAATTTGAACCAAGACTCAATTTTTCCACTGCTTGAAGAAATTTAAAAGGTTTCTCTACTAGTGTTTCTGATCAATTGTTTCCCATAAATTCTTCTGTTGACAACCTTTGTAGCTCTGTGCCCTCAAATATTCCTTGCAGGTCCTCCTGGTGCTGCCCAATGCCATTCCATTTCCTTAGAAATGTCCTACTCTAGATTAAGTTCATAGTTCTCATTCCAGATACAGAACCTCATGGGAAGTAACAAAAACAGCCATTTTTATCCATTCCAGGTGCTATGAAGAAAGAAAAGTATGTCAGAGAAATGAGGAAAATGATTGGTATTTCAGTTATTTTCCTCTCCTGTAGGGCAGAGCCTGACTGGCTTTCATTCATTCCTCAACTACATAGAATTCTCACAAGACTCTCATCTAGGAACCCAGAAGAGTCCAGACCCTTAGTCTTCTCTAACAGTTGTTGCAAGAAATGCCAACTGGTTTCTGGGGCACTAAGAGGATCATGAAAGAATAGCATAGTTAAAAGAGTGCGGAGCCAATGACAGGCTAAGATCAAGAAACTTTCTAAAAGAGGAAGCAATAACTAAGGCAATTGTCATAAATGGAAAAGAAAAAAAAAAAAGAGGGAATTCATTAGCCAATAGGAGCACCATTATCTCCAGCCAGTCACCCACCAAAAACCTTCAGCCCCCTACGGCAGTTGTGTGGTGTCTCATGTTTTGCTTTCATTGCTTCTCAGCTGTACATTCATCATTTCTCAAACAGTGCCCAGGCAGAGGAAGGTGAAATCAAAAGGAAAGACTTGGGACTTTTAGGGGCTCCACAGCAAGGGTAAGCAACTATGGCACCAAACTTCAAACAATGAATATCATCAGTGGCCCTCATTCACTATTCACCATTTGTGACTTGCTTCATCTTCTTCCTTTCATAGTCTCTTTTCCCACATTTTTATCCCCATCTTCCCTAAGCAACTCCCTACCCATGTTATGAATCAGGCCTGCCAATGACATCCAAGGGCACTGCTGGCAGAACTTCATTTATTCAATTTAATAAGTTCCAATTATACGCTCAGCCTTGGGCCAGATGACGAGGATCTCAATGCTCAGAACATTACTGTCCACTGGTTCTGAGAGACTGGAAACAATAATTAATCTGAAGAAACTAAGTCCCAACCTGACAGAGATTCTGGGGAAATAAACCTGATCTGAAACATATTCAAGAGACTTAGGCAGATGCTCATTACTATTGCCTTTGTTTAATCCTTTTCTCTCACTGAAAAGGGATCTAAATTTAGAGCACAGAGGAGTGAAACACCATTCTATCTAAAAGCAAAAACAGCATAATGGCCTCGTAATGGTATCCCATTTTCATTCCTGCCTTAAGCTTATCTCCAGATGAACTGCCCTAGAAAGAAACTCCCTCAAAAACCCTCAATGATGCTCCAGGATTTACTTTATTAAATGCAATCTCTTCACTCCCATTCAAAGCACTCCATAATAGGTCCACAGGAACTCATTTTCTAACTTTAACTCTTTGTCTAAATGTGTAGCCCAATTACATTTACTAGAAACGTACTACAGATTTTCTCTCACTCTAATCTTTTCAGCTTTCAAGGCTTTGCTCTTCGCTCTTACCTTTCCCTCTGCCGGGAATGTGATCCCACTCTCTGCTCTGAGCAAATCCCTCAAGGTCGTTTATAATTTTCCCCAACCAAAAATCAACTTTCATTTCCTTGGAATTCCCGCAGCCGTTCAGCTCATGTCTTACCTTTTCCTACCTTGTGTTACTGATATTGGTGACACTGCCTCAGTCCTCTTACTAGATTGCTTCAATCAAAGACACTGTCTTACAGGCTCTGTAACGCGAGGTACACATAGCAGACTTAGTAAAGAATCACTGGATTGGTAGAGGCTGACACTACGAAAACACTCCTAATTAGGAGAACACCGACAACCCGAAATACTCAGATTCTTATAAATGAGACTCAGTAAATATTTATGGAACGCCTGTCTTACCGCGGTAACTGCCAGACACTGCAGGAGATACGAGATGAAAAGAAGGTTCCCATCCTCTGGGGGCGGGGGGGGTGCATGCTGCAGCAGAAAAAGCAGAAGAAAGGACAGCAGGGGACCTAAGTGCCCGTCTAGGAGCCGCCACTGGTAAATTATGTGACCCTGAGCAAGTCACTTCTTGGCTCAATTTCTCTGTCAAGGAGAACTGTAAATGGAACCTATTTCACAGGTTAAACCTACCTCACAAGAAAAAACAGAATCGTGGTGAGGGATGCGCGGCCCAGAGAAGGGTACGAAGCCCTCAGGGGCCGTTGAGCCTGACCGGGACAAAACGGCCTCTCACTCCCGGAGGCTGCCACGAGCCCCGGCCGACAGCTCGGCTGCGCCGCGGGAAGGCCGAGAGCCCGTCGCGTGCAAGGGCTGACGACCCTCACTGGGCGGGGCTACCGGCTACCAGGCGCCGCGGGCCGCCTGAAGCGACGGAGGAACGATCTGGACGCGCAACGCCTCCCAGAACCGGGACGCGAGACGGCGACATCCACGCGCCGAGCCGCGCGCAGGGCCCTCTAGGCCTGGTGGCCCTACAGACTCGGTGGCTTTAACTCTTTCCTGCCGCCAGAGCTGAACCCGAACAGGACACCAACTCCTCCCCAGAGGCCCGCAGCCGAGCTACACCGAGCCCCTCCCCGAAGGTGCAGCACTTCCGCTTCCGGTTGGGGCGCGCGCGCGGGTAGGCGGGTACCGGCGAGCGTGAGGATCCTGCAGGGCCTGTGGTGGAACCAGGCCTGCGCCTCCGAATTCTCGGGCTCCGCTCGCGAGCCGCCTGTGAGTGGTGCGGGGCGGAGAGCTGCGCGCCTCAGGGCGGCGACTTGCAGTTGAGCCCGAGAAAGACGGAGAGGCGTCCACGAAGCCGAGCTTTCTGAGGTAACAAGAAGTGCCTTCCCCCTCGGCGTCGGCTCCCGAGCGCCTGAGAGACGCCGGCCGCTGCAAGGCGGGCGAGGCGAGGCAGCCATTTTCCGTGGGCGGCGGCGTGTCCGGGCCGGGCGCCCGGAGTCCGGCGGGACGGCTTGGGGCGAGGCCCACCGGCGGCCCCTCCTTCTACCCTTTGCGCAGACACCGCCCAGGGCCGGGCTGGAGCCGCTCGACCACTGCCCGTTCACACCGTGCTCCCGGGCGCACCCGTCGGCCGTCCGGAGGCGGGGGCGGGGCGAGCAGTCACGTCCACTTTCTTGCCTCCGCTGGCTTTTCCTTTGCTGGCTGCTGTTACCGCGGGAGAACCGGGCAGGTCGGCCTCAGGGAGGTCAGCTTCTGCTGATGCAAAAGCATAGCAAGTGTCCCCGTGCCGCCTGAGCTGGCGTAGGCGACAAGGAGCTGGCCATTTGTGAATGCCCTGGCATCCTGGACAGATTTCGTTGCCGTTTCTGCTGGATCACCTCAGGGAAAGGGAGGCTCATGGTTCTCCTCAGCCTCGCTTGGAGGTCTAAATACCCTTGAAGAAATGTAAAGTCAGCCGAAGGGTCACCGTATGATCACCCACTCCCATTCTCTGCCTTTCTGCGACTTAGCGTTTAGATGATTTTGTAAA